TGATGTGTCTATAGGAGACAACTTTTTATGCAAGCTGTATAAAATAAATGTGTCTCTACCTTAGTGGGACTTCTGACACTGAGAGGAGGAGGCCAGGGTCTCATAAGCTGGGCAGTATGAGGTGGTTGCGAGGCGCAGGCAGGTCTCCAGATGATCATCATTCATTGTGGATCTGTTTTTGGACTTGATGATTTTCATGTGTGAAAAAGCAGACTCACACAGGTAGGTAGATCCAAAAAGTGCTGTTAAGTTCAAAGCACATCTTCGGATGTTAGGATACTTTTCTTCTGACAGCAGACTCCAGAACTCTCCATCCACGCCAGGTGATGCTCTGGATTTGATCCCAATGTCATTTTGCAGAGTCAACACCTCATTTTCAACACCAGAGCTGTCCAGCTGAAACATGGACACCAATTTGGACACAATGTCATCCACATCAACATTTCCAAAAGGATAACACATGTAGCTGGTAACAGGCTCGATGGAGGAAAAGTCAGTAAATCGTCTCTCAAATTCTGCTGAGATGCTCTGAACCTGCTTAGAATAGTGTGCACTGTCCAGTTGTGGGACCTCTTTCCCTTGGCGCTGTAGCTCTGCCTCCATGTGTGGGAAGTTTCGCAGGTCCCTGCGTTGCAGCCGACTTGTGAGCAGTTGCAGCCTGCTTTTGAAGGTGCTCACAGAACTGATCATGTGGATTATGTTTTTGTCCTTTCCCTGAAGCTCCAAATTCAGTTCATTGAGCAGGCTGGTGAGATCTGTGAGGAAGGCTAAATCCAAAAGCCACTGGGTGTCCTCTAGTTTTGAATGTTCACCATGATCTGACAGCTTCAGAAAATCCCTGATCTCAGGCAACAGCTCACTGAATCTGTCCAGAAATTTACCTCTGCTTAGCCACCTGACGTCCATGTGCAGCAGCAGGTCTGTGTGGTCTGCTCCTGCCTCCTCCAAGTGAGCCCGGAACAACCTCCTCTGCAGACTCCTGGCCCTTATAGAGCACACAGTTTTCATGGCAACATCCATCACTTCCTTCATGTTTAAAATCTTCCCACACAGGGCCTGTTGGTGGATGATGCAGTGATAGTGCAAAATGTCTGGGAAAGCATCATTCTGCTTGCAGAGTGCAACAAATCCACTGGTGTGACCAGTCATTGCTGGAGCGCCATCAGTTGTTATAGAAATTAGTTTAAAGAGGGGCAAGTTGCTTTTATTAACAAACTCCATAAACGCATTAAAAATATCTTCTCCTCTTGTGTGTCCCTTCAAAGGCAAGATGGTGAGCAGCTCCTCTTTTGCACTCATGTCTGCAAAGGCCATTCTGATAAAAACACACAGCTGGGCTACATCCACCATGTCTGTCGACTCATCAAACTGAAGAGAGAAACACTCACATTGTTCCACGTCCTTTTTTAGCTGCTCCTCCACATCCACAGCCATTCCCTCACATCGCCGTGTCACTGTTTGTCTGGACAACTGAACGTCTTTAATAGCAGCTACGATCTCACTTTTATTTTTAAAATCATGAAAAAGCGCATCTGCAGCCTCAATAAACGCTTCTTTCATAACTTGTCCATCGCTGAAAGACTTCTTATGTTGAGCCAGGATGCGGCTAACACGGTAGGAAGCTATCGTAGCAGCTTCACCTTTTGTGCTGGGGCGAGTGAAGACTGATTGCTGGGCTGCAAGCTTGTTTTTTAGCTCCCGCACTGTCTGAGTCCGTAAAGAACTTTTAAGAGGGAAATCTGTCTCAAACCGTTTGTGCATCGTCTTGAAATGTCGCTCCAAGTTACACTTTTTGGGTAAGGCAACGCTCGAATTACAGATGAGGCAAATGGACTTCGAATTAGAATAAACAAAAAAATACTCCTCCTCCCACTCTGTGTGAAAATAATAAGTTTTCGTTTGCTTGTTCGCTAGTTTTCCATCCATGTTTTCTGCGCACCGACATTACTCCATGACTGAGCCTAAAGTCTTGTGAGAGCGCTGTGTCACCGCACCCAAAACTCGCGAGACTATGTCTGTGAGAATACAAGTCAAGGTTTCGCTAGCGACTGGTTGGGCACACCAGCTTTAGTATTTATATATTTTGAATTATTTGTCTGTGATGGACTGAAGACCTGTCCAGGTGTCCCCTGCCTCTTGGCACAGTGATGGCTGGATATGGGCACCAGTGACACCCGTGATCCGTAAAGGAAGAAGTGGGTAAAGATGATGGATGGATGAATTATTTGTTCCTAGATTTTTTTTTTATTTTACTTATTCTTTGAAAAATCCAGGCAACTAACTTAACCTAATACTGGTAATTTAAGTTACATAATTTTATGCACTCCTATATTTGTTCCTATTTTTGGTATAAATATAAAATGATGCAAAAAGATTTGATACAGAAAAGAGCCAAACATTATTGTTTTAAATAAATGTTCTATTTGTTTACATCATTACATTGTTTCTGAATTGAATATAGTTCTGAATTAAAAAAAATCGATTTTGAATCGAATCGTGACATCAAAAATCGGAATCGAATGAAATCGCCAGATGCAGAGATTCGCACCCCTAATAATTTCTAAAGTTGTTACACAGAAATTTTTATTTTTACAACCTCTGAGCAGAAGCATTATGGGACCCCCACTGTGCTCTCTGGTGCCCCCAGAGACAAAAATCGGTTTATAAATATGGGGAAAAATCCATAAATACATCGCTTCGGCCTATAAATCCTACGGCATGCAAATTATACAAAAACCATGACATATAGTGTGAAAAATACGGTAGGTGCTGTGCAGAACAAAACAAAAAAAGACAACTAAATAAGAGTCAGAACAGCAGTCACAAGACAGAATTAACAAAACATGATTAAGAGCTATAATAAAAACAACTAAATTTAACTATTAAGTTTTTTGCAAAACAGTATGTCAAAGCTAAAATTAAGTAATGCTGGAAATATCTGTTCCTTGCTACCAAAAATCAACCAAATTGATTTAACAGCACAGACTTTTTATTCATCAGAAAACTGATAAACTAGTTGTGATATTTTTTCAGTAACACATTTAATCTTTGTGATTAATGAAAGTTTATTACCAGATATTTAATAAAAATTAAACGAATCCTTATTCTAACCATTGATAAAGCATCTGAACATTCATCTAGTATTTGCTGTAACAGGTAAATTCACTGCTGGGGATTAATAAAATGCTGTTGTCTCCGATTTTGTGTTAAAATATGTAGAAATTATACATGTTTTGTGACAGATAACTTTTCACATTGTTCCATCAATAAAAGATCACGATACCATTTCCTCCATATTTTTTTTTATTAAATTTATGTAATTTTCTTATTTGGTAATTTATATTCATAATCTTAGTTGGTACAGTATCATGTGAAAATAAATTTAAAGCTCTTCCAGTTTTGAACAATTTATAAAATCAAACACACCTCTTGAGTTCTGGGTGATTTTTTAATCCAGACTATAAACCCGGAAGCTGTCTGTCTGTTTTCGCTTTGACTCACAGCACTGAAACTTTTGGAAATAATGAGGCCTACCAGCTTGTTAACTGCGTCATAACTCATTAACGACTGAGTTGTAGCTAAAAAAAATAGACTAAGATTATCTGAATTTCTTACTTAAAACAACATTCATATGAGTTACTGTGATAACTTCACGTTACGCAAAACAGCAACAGCAGTGGAACACCAAACTAACTTAACACAACATAAATTATTTTACATACTTGGTCTTTGACGTAGATCTGTGTCATTTTAAAAAAGGTTTCGTAGTTTTACAAGTTTGGCTAGTTTAACTACACCACATACATTTGACCAGTTTAGTAAAATTCAACAACAACAACAAAACTTCTAACTTTTCTAAATCACGAATTCTGAGTAAAATGTGTACTTACACAGCTACCGAGAGAAGCCAGGGCCAAGCATGCACCCATATTAGTTTATTTTACAAAACACTGTTTAAAATATCGAGAAAATCTTAAAACGTTTTCAGGAAGCTTAATCCAAGATGGCGGTGTCAAGTCACTTTGAAGCTGCAGTAATATCCGTTTGTTTCTTTCAAAATAATAGTTTTATCGCCTCGTTCAACGGAGCTACTGCTTAGATTGGACATTTTATTTTGAAGACCAACGGATTTGGTTTCCTGTTTTCTTCAGTAATTTTCATACAAACTTCAGATCAGGAGTTTTGTTTTGGGCGTTGCGTTTTGTCATGGCTCCTCGAGATCAGCAGGGGACGCTATTTGATTAAACAACTTCCAGGGTCAAATAATGTTAAAAGAAATGAATGAACATGGTACTGGTTATTCCTCACTGTCTGTTTGGATAATGTAATAATTATTTTATTGAATATATATGGTTATAATAATCCAAACCAGAACAAATTATTGCTAGAAGAAATAGCCCTACAATTAGATCACCTAAAATCAATTTACTCAACAAACAACAGCATCATTGGAGGAGATCTCAACCTGGTTCAAGATTAATTTTATGACAGATGGCCCTCGAAACATGACTCAACTTACCCAAACACAACATTCAACACCTTTCGCAATGAACAAAATCTAGTTGACGCGTGGCGTCAGCTCAATCCCGGTTCAATAAAATTCTTGTGGTTCTGTTCAAAGAGCAAATCAAGAATTGATCACTGGCTTGTAGCAAATCAATGAAATCATCTCTGATATTTCTGTAGCACCTTTGACTGACCATAGACTTATTTCCTTACAAATGAAACACCAAAACTGGAAACCAAGCTCAAGCAAATATTGGAAATTTAACTCCAGTACTCTTAAAAATGACACCTACTGCCAACAAATCAAATAACTAATCCTGAATATAACGATCTGTGAAGATTTAAATAGTCCAGTCCAAAAATGGGAATTCCTAAAATACAAGATAAGACAGTTTTCTATCTCATTCGGTAAACAATTTTAAAAAAAGAACTACGAGAAAAAGAACTAGATATTATACAACAACTAAATGTACATTGCAATAAACCTAATCCCTCAGAAGAAGACAAACAAAAAATAATAAACCTTTAACCTAAGAAAGATGAAATGTGCATCCAAAGGGCCAAAGGAGCTTTTATTAGATCAAGAGTGAGATGGAATGAGGAGAGAGAACAAACCACTGCATACTTTGTAATTTATAAAAAAGAAGAAAACAACAAAATGCTATTAAATAATTAATAATACATGATGTAGAAACTAATAATGAAAAATTAATATCAAAAGAGATCTTTAAATTCTATAACAACTTATATACCTCCAAAAACTCTGAACATAAATGTAACACTTTCCTGAAACTTTTATTCCTAACACAGAAGATAATTTCAAACAAACTTGTGACAACAACATCACAACAGAAGAACTTAATAAGGCAGTAAATCGTTTATCATTGAACAAAGCACCTGGTCCGGACGGTCTTACAGGGAACTTTTATAAACATTTTTGGAAAGGCATAAAAATATTACATCTAGTTTTTATAGAACGTTTTAAAAAATATACTCTACCTCCTATGATGAGACAAGAGGGCGCACCTGGTGACGAGCTGCTGAGGTCACGTGAGAGCATGGCAGGATACTGCTGAACAAAACGATTCAACTCAGGTAAAACAAGCCAAAACATTACAATCAAGTATAAAAATATTGTTATTAATAACCTCTGCATATTGTTTCATTAAACCAAACTGGACGAGGAAACCTTGGACAGTCTGGAGAGTTACGTGGACGAGTGTTTTAACATCGTGATGGGTGAACCACAAAAACACACCGCATCCACGGCCACACCAACTCCTGAACGCACGCGTTCAGAGAGCTCAACCAGCACGTCCACCTCTCCAGAGGAAAGCTTCACTGATGTCCTGGGCTCTATGGACAAGAAGCTAACCAGCTTAGATGGCCGGCTGGCCCTGGTGGAGGTTCTCCACAAGGAGTTCCAAGCACTGAGGGAGGCTCTGGAGTTCAGCCAAGCTCAGGTGGCGTCGCTCGCTGCAGAGAATCAGACTCTGAGGGGTCACGTCAAAGAACTCACCGAGAAGATGTCCAGCTGTCCGGAGAGAACAAAAAAATGAAGGAGTCCATCCTGGATATTCAAGCTCAGAACATGCGAGACAATCTAGTCTTCTCTGGGACACCAGAACGAGCAGAAGAGGATGCTGAAGTTACGATCCGTGAGTTTATCCATCATCAGCTGAAACTCCCAAGTGAGACGGTAAAAACCACATTCCAACTACGTTGGATATTGGAGCTCCGTGGCTTCAGCGGGGTGTTGCTCTCGTCAATCCGCGTCAGGCTGTCTGATTTCGGTGAGCCGCGCTCAACCTGCCCCTACTCAGAGACGCAATGGTTCGCTTAGGGACCGTCAACAAATTATCAACACAGTCACTCTTCAGAAACAAAAAGCAATATATTTTCCATGATTTGCCCCACTCACCCAAAACTTAGATAAAACTACTCCCCCAAGACCACTCAGACGAGGCACACCTTTTAATTTTTCATTTTTTATGCTTTTCATCATTTTACATAATTTAATATTTCATAAATCAGGGTTTTTGCTCAATAACGTTCCAATCTTTTGACCCACACACACAAAATTTACACCAAACTACTCTCCAAGACCAGTCAGACGGGGCACAGCTGTTTATTTTTCATTTTTATGCATTTCATAATTTTACATAATTTAATATTTCATAAATCAGGGTTTTTGCTCAATAACGTTCCAGTCTTTTGACCCACACACACAAAACTTACACCAAACTACTCTCCAAGACGAGGCAGACGAGGCACACTTCTTAATTTTTCATTTTTATACATTTCATAATTTTACATAATTTAATCTTTCATAAATCAGAGTTTTTGCTCAATAGCGTTCCAGTCTTTTGACCCACCCACACAAAACTTACTCCAAACT